TTAAATGGCCAACTTATTCTTTCAAGATAAATTCTTTATACACCTATATATATTTGGGAATGATTTTGATTTACGCTGTACATTCCATTATGATATTTACTAAAAAAAAATACGTAGTGGTAGGGACATCCATTTATGTCAATATGCTTTATTTGTTATTTAAATAACATCTCTAAATCTTACCTTCAATGATATTTCAGTACTACCCGAGTCAAAAGACCGTCATGGATTGATCAGGAATCGAAGACAAAGAAAAAAAAAAGCTCGATGACTTTGCATTATACAGTTGCATAAATTATCGATAAAGTTTGAGTTCTTAATATTACAGCATTATTTTTCTAATTTCAGAGTCTGAAATTCGAATGTAGAATCCAAAGTCGCTCGATTTCTGAAATCGAGCAATTTGATTGGATCCACGCATTTTAATTTCAGACATTGCCTAGCCTCTGTAGTTGTTGGAAATATGTTGATCAAAATTACTCGATATATATATTTAATAAAATATTACGACCGATTTATTTGTGCTGTGCATCTCTTAATCTTAGATGATCTTAAATATTGAAAATCAACCCAATCGTTGAATTCCTTAGCCTATAATAGAAAACTGGCAAATAAAGAGTTAATACGTATGATGAACAATATATATTCAGAAATAGGATAAAAAGCGTTGCTATATTACTTATATATTTATTTAAATCAGCTTCTTGGCGACAAATTATGAAAATAATTAAATAATTACGTAATTAGATACTCCAAGATCACCACGTGCCTTTTTTACACTCTATAATTTGACCTTTTGTAAAGTTTGCTTTAACATATCACATCTTACTACGTATTCTAATTTTATTTTTTCGGAAAATAGTTCATAAATCACAGCGAAACAGAATCATAATATTCTTAGTTGGAATATTTAGCTTCCTGGTTTCAATTGTATAATTTCCAATGTCATGCAAGTATATATCGTGTATATCGTTTGGTGTGATCAAAAGTCAGGAAAGAAGAATCTATTGTAATTAAATTTGTGCTTAATAAAACTAAGGTCCTACGTATTAGATACTGTATTTTCATAACTATTCTATAAATTTCCCGAAATGTAATGTTACTACGTAATATTATTGTTGCAATTATCAACACACATGAATTATAAATTTTGTTCATCAAATAAACAGATACAAAATAGAATTGATTGATAGTGAATATAGTGAATTGACGACAATCACATATATTTCATGAAAAGTTTTGTAATTCACCTCAACTTGTGTATTACCACAAGAGCTCGTAACATTTAGTATTACACTCAGTACGTATAGTGAATACAAAATATTAAGGTGTTAAAAAACGATAATCAAACTCTATGCATTTTCTAGAGAACAGCTTCATAAGTTCATACTTAAAATGAAACTTCTCCGAGAATGACCCCTGTGTCATTGCAGCATTTCATATTTAGAATAGTATATTATCATAACGCTAATTCAAAAGAAACTACGTACAGTATTAATAATCAACGAGGCGTCATTACATAATTCGTCTGCTTGAAATTTTGAATGGAAGACATGTCAGATATGCTAGATACGCTGTGCATATGACGTAATTTTAAATCATATGATAATGGACACGTGCTTGCGTTACATAATTATTATTGGTTCATGCTTAATTTGCTTTTTACGCAAAAATGCACAAATGGCGATTTATTTATTATATTTTATTATATATCGATATGCTTTATGACACAAATATTTGTAATCAAAAAAGATGATTTATCATAGGTGAATTTTTTTTAATGCAAAATTTGGAAAGATATTATATAAATGCTACCGGAATGAATTGTCAGATAAAGTAATTTTTGAACCAATGATTGACAACTTTTTTCGAGTAAGACGTACATGACAAGAGTAAAGAGGTCTGGTGATTCAGGAGTGTTTCTCATGCTGTTGTATTCATACAGTAATTGTACAATTACTACACGAATACGGATAATATCTGAGGAAAGAATCTCTATCAGGCATAATATTACTATTAATTATTGATTTAATAAGAATAGCGCGTATGCACATGATGTAACTAATTTCAAAGATATCGGAAAACAAGAAACTTTCGCTTCATGAATTTCTTTTTCAAAGATCAATATGGAAATTAAAAATAGTAAAATAGTACCACTTTATCGCGATACATTTCACAAAAAAGCGTTTACGTAATTAGTTAAATTCTTGAATAAAAAATTAATGAATATATCTACTCAGAGTTTGATACCGAGAATTAAACTAATATGTATGCTATTTAAAAGTATAAATTCGGAATGTTGTATTTTACGTATTTACGAATATGATAAGTAGCAATTGAAAAAAATTTACGCGCCTTGCGATCATGTGATAGATATCTAGACTAAAATTTTATTATAGTGATAGCGATATTACATGCACCATAATAATTTTGTCATCTTATATAAGGAAGGAATAGGCTTTATAGAGATCAATGCATAATCAAATAAAATAAATGTTGCAGATCGTGAATTTATAGTGAAAACATTTAGTTAAGACACGCACATATCTAGCCAAATTATCATTAATATGTATCTTATCGTTATGTAATTCCTTAATATAGTATTGTATCTCAAAGATCAAATGTTATCAGTATTATCGGTATTTGCCGAAAACGTGGTTAGGCTAAAACTTTTATTTAAAATTTCCTCTATTCAATGAATTGTTTGATGAACGATTATTTGTATACAAATATATATATATATATGCGAACAAAACCGAGACCAAATCAGCTTGCGTACACTAAAAAATTTGAGAACCTGCAATGAATTTTTGGTAATACAAGTTATACCTATACGCAAACGATATTTCTATTTTTAGTTTGATGAACAAAATAATTTTTTTTTTTTTTTTGCTGCTATCGAAAAATCGGATTCCCATCAAACCGAAATTCTTATTACGATAAATTCTTAAAATTTATGCCAAGTTCTTTTTTTTTTCATTAAAATAGGATCTAAACAGATATACATAAAAAAATGTAGTTAGCTATCAAATTCTCGGGTTTTTACCCCGGGCCTTTTGTAGATCCGGTTATGCGCATTGTTGGCGGACCTTCTTGAAACAATCAAGGAGTCAGCCAATTATAGGCATTCCATTGTTCCAAAAAAGGTAAGCAATGTAACGAATTTGCATTGAAAAATGTTTACTATTTCTTGTATAACAGTAAATATATTACAGAAATAGCCGAGTGCAGACAATGCATGATTGACATAATCACAATATACGCATTTCAATCATTAATAAATAAAAAGCCTCGAATTAAGAATTATATACATATTACGTATTATTGATTTTCTATTTCTGTAGTTATATAGAGATTAACTTGCCTTGAATGGACAAAGTTACGTAGTAGATATATAAATTTTCGAATTTTCGCTTGTCACGTACGTACACCGTGAGTTACCTTACTTTATTATCTATAGTAACTTGTATTCTCTTAAAACGTGACAAATGTCGGTACAGCAGTACGTACGTAAACAATTCTAATGCAAAATGCGTCACCTTCAAATCCATTTTAAACTTAATCAAAAATTTTGATCCATTTTATGTATTACAGTATAATTATTTAAAAAAGGTATTATGAATGATAATAGGTATTTTAAATAGAATACTTATTATCGTAATTTGAATTTAATTATTATTACCAAATTTCAATAACAACTAATTGGTTTATTCCCTTTATTAGGATATAGATATTCTCTATTCTACAAATAATAGAATTTTAACCACCTTTCATATATATATGGTAACCATTATATTGTATTCATAATCCGTAGTATCTACTGTAGAACCAGTAATGGTATTGATAATAAGATGCAGTGACTCAATAACAAACAAATCTATTCCCGCCATTTACAGTATCTGATATATGCTATACATGGATTAGTATAAAATTTTGAATGGTACGTACCTAAGTATGTAAATAATTTTTTCCTTGTCAGACCTTTTCGTAATATATATTTAATGCCGCGTAAATCCCTATATGCCATGTACAAATAAATAGGCAAACGTTTTTTTTTTTTTTTTTTTTGTAAACATAATCACACATCCGTGGTTTGATAAGTATTCTTTTATATGCAAATTATAAGTGGTGAAAAAATTATTGTATACATCTAATAATTTAATAACAATTTATTATTATTTGTATCATAATTTATCAAACAAAAGTAGTAAGTAATTACTTTCTTCTATGAAAACTGAACACAATATGACATACACAATCACGTTATACTGTTATATACTGTTATATAGGAATTTCATTTCCGAGTGTCTAAAAATAAATTATATCTCCGAATTTCGTATTTTCAAAGTTTAAGTAATTATAAGTTATATTTCTTTTTTTTAATTATATATTGAGAAAACCATTTCCTATTAATATTCGAAAAACAAATAACAAACATGAAGGATTTAATGTTTTTAATAAATTAAAGAAAAAATATAGACTTATATTTTATATCGGTTTCACTTTATATTTATTAATGCATAATTAATAATTCAACTTATGTGTATAAATTGACAAATATAATTACAAATCTTAATGCTTATCGTTATTGGTTAATTCTAATGTGAAAGAGGAGAGAAAACAAAAAAAAAAATATGCTAAATACAAATACGTAAATCGTTACGCAATCGAGTTTCAAAAATAGTTTTGTAAAAAAAAAAAATAACGTTACTCGATAATGAGAGAAAAGAATATACGAATAAATGAAAATAAAATAATCTATTTTAAAAGTCGATTGAATTATCCAATACGTTTCGCGAAATTATAATGTCTTTTGTTGTCCAAGTTATATTACATGTGTCTCTAAGGTCTTAACATTCTATCCAAACGATTAAACCACCTTTTGTATGGTGAATTCATGTATCGTATGGAATAGAGTAATGATCGGATAATCAGGAATTTCTTTAGACCAAGAGAACACAAAAAAATAAAATAAAAAAAAATTTACAAAAATTTTATATTCAGAAATGTTCGCCAAAACTACCAATTTGCCAGTCAAACGAAAAATATTCCGGGCATGCAGTTTGTGGCATTAGTATTTGATTCGGGATACTTGGAATATCAGCTTTTTTGAATAATAGATTATTCGAAAATTTAATAAGATCGTCTATTTCCATAGTCGAAAAGTTTACGGCTGTCTCAGGAACGATTTGATCGTTTGATTTTGTAGCGTCAACAATTTTTTGTGTTAAACTTTCTAATTTATCCAATCGTTCACTCAAAACATCGATAAATTCATCATTCTGCGAGCATCGTTTACAATAATCATCGGGCTTATTATTATTATTATTATTAACATTTTTGACTGTTTTTTTCTTTGGAGTGAGAGGGGTAGACCTTTTAACTGTCATTATGTGCGTGCGACCAGTAACATCAATATGCCCTTCACTAACTGCGAGGGCCTTTCGTCCTCTCTTAACGGGAGACCTACAAATCATTATTACAGTATTGAGGCAAATTTCATAAAAGTTTTTTCGCACTCCTTATATAATTTTACAAGATTCTAGACTGTTCCATAATAATATTTTTATCCCGATAAAGAATTCATGTATCCAATTAAAAAGGTGCATAAACAAATAGGTCAAACAAAGAAATGCGCGTTACTTAAATTGTACGAACAACTAATCTCTCTTATTATATCTGAATATAGAAAACAAACTTAATGATTTTTTTACATAATACGTATATATTTAATAAAAAATTTATATATATATTGTTTTCGATTAATATTATTGTTCGTATATATAATATATGATATATAGAATGAAAGCGATATTAACCAAGTATGGCAATCAAACGCGTTATATAGATCGCCTGGCATGCGACAAACGTGCGTAAAAAATGCATGCCGCGATAATTCATCTCTGACAATTCTAGAAGGTTCGCTTTTATAAAATCCTGGAATTTAACTGCATGGCTCGTAAAGTAATACATAAAACATAAATAAAATGTATGAAAAAATATATTTTTATTTATTTTTTAAACCACATGAAATTAATATTAAGAATAAAATAGTTAGATTCTTGTATGTTTTGAACTCACTTAAAGTGTTCACTTAAAGTGTTTATTTAATGCAAGTCCTGAGAGCCTATCGAAAAGTAAAATAAGAAGTCTTTATACGTCGGATATCTAAAATTTATTCTTTTCTTAATAAGGATAGCTTTAAGCACAAAAGTATTGTTTGATAATTATTTTATAATAGAAAGTTATTATCTTTTAAAAATTTATTATAGGAAACCTTCATTTCGAAACAATTCTTTTGATACTAATTTAGATAAAGTTATAAGACAAGAGGATAAACCTAACTTTGCGTTCTTTAATCTTTACTTATTAACCTCTATAGAACTTATTCATGATCATGAACACAACCATTCAAACCTTGTATAGTTCGAAAAAGAAGTAATGAAGTAAGTTAGTGATTATGTAATTTTACGTACAAATTCGAAAACAGTTTTATTTTAACAAAAAAGGTGGTTTTATGATAAGTTATGTAGAAGCATGAAATTGCACGTATAAAATTATCAAAAATGGTATATCGGGTATAAATTTTAAAGGTCCGCATTTAACGCACATGATGCGTAAAATGATCTACGTGAATAATCAATAATTTATGCGTGATCAACTATTTTTCTGGTGTTATAGAAGTAACAACCGTTACATGTAACAACTGGCCAATGATGTTTGGTTTTAGATAGGATACACATCGGTTGTACTAATTAAGTTGTTACAAATAAGCGTGTAACAACTGGTTACAATTAGATGAGTCATATATTATATAACAGTTTAAAATTCACTTTCCATAAATACAAGGATTGTATAAAATGATATGCAGATTCAGCCTCAAGCATATTCAACTCTTTTTAAAATTGCTTTATAAATGCGCTGATTTGTCTAATCAGCATCTAGTTCAAAGGATTGTATTTAAAGAGGTTAGACCGCCATTTTAAATTTCTAATACGTACGTTGTGACGAGGCTATATCGATATGTGTAAACCCGCATTTGGACAATTTTTAATATTAATATGTAATACCCTTACTTAGAAAGAGTTGATTGTAATTTACTACGTACATATGTACTTTTAAGTATTTGTTTTTAAATTAAACGTCACCTTATATTATTAATGATTTTTTATTTTACATATAAGAAATTATTTTGAAATACTGTAAACAATGTGAAACGGCAATTATTAAAATTTATTGTAATAATGTATTTCTATAATTAATAATTGCTCTTCAAATGTTGATCATTACTTGATTCTAAGATTTTATATTTATCTATATACAATAAAATAATATTTGAGACAAAAAAGTAATTGTAAATTAAAAATTTATTATTGTTAACTGAAAGTTGATCCCATTTTTATATATAATTTTAAATTTTTTTTGAAAATGTATTTGTTAGTTTCTTTTAGAAATTAGAAATTGAAATTAAAATTCTTAATAAGAATGTAGGTAACCCATACTTATGTTGCCATTAGCTTTATTTACCACAATTATTGTCACGCCTGATGCTATTGGTTGATGCTGAAATTTAGACCTATTGTGATGTGAATTTTTAAAAAATTTTTGAGATGCTTTTTTTTTTAGGGTTGGGTTAGAGTTTATGGTTAGAATGATATTTAAAGAGTATATGTGGATTTTAGCAGAGCATCAGCCAATTTCAGCATCGGCCGCGACAATTATTTTTAAAAGTTATTTTGGATCAGTTATACTAAATTATAATTAAATTATATTAGTTATATTAGTGGTGTTAGCACCATGTACTATATGCTTAAATTAACTTACAAGTAAATTTTAGGTTATGAATCCTAATAAAGTAATATTATGGGACCAAATTTTAGTTAGAGTGAAGTTTTTGGGTGCTAATATTTTTACTTAGTATATTTGACGTTAATTATTTAGCTAATATTATATTTGAAATACTGTAGTAACTGTGGTGTTAACACTATTGGTGTGATTTAGTAACCCTTTTTAGATAAGCTTAAAATAATAAAAAAATATTTGTAAATAAAAATGTTATATATTTTTATATATTTGCTTTTTATATTCAAGATGTTATTTTTACAGTACATATCTTAGCATGTTCATATTTAATTATTTATTGGATAAAACCTACTGTAAATCTATTTTGTGATAAATTTATCATTAGTAAGGTTATGTAAGTTACACGTAAATTATCAAGTCATATATGAAACTAGGGGATAATTAATGTTTATAAATAATCACAGAAATAAATTTGTTCATTAAACTCAACACTATTGATAAGCATAAAGATAGTTAAGATAGATTTGACCTGAATAACGATAAGATTATGGATAAAAATACATAACAGGAAAACAGGAGAGTTGCATAGTTAGTACCAATTAAAATCAGATCAGTTATCATTGAAAAATCAGAGTTTCATAAATTTTTGCTTAATAAGATTTATACTTAGGCGGAGGAATAGAAAATTATTTGCAAACCTATTTATAAAAGTATGTGTAATATCCGATATATTATATAAAAAGAGATACGTAAAATCAACGTAAGAGTAAATCATTGCATTCTTTTTTCTTTGTTAAATTTTATGTATCATAATTTACAATTCTGATACGTTAATGATTAGGCTTAAAAATCTTTCTGCATATGTAATCAGAGTTGATATTTTATGATAGTAATTTTACAATTTTATCAAAATTTGGTTAATTAAATTTCATGTAATCACAGTCTTGTGTAATAAGGCCTATTTTAACATACTGTATATGAGAATGAACGGATCGGGTCTCGGGCAGGTGTTCAAGCGGACATCATCTTACGTTAACATCATACTGATTATATTTACTCAAACGAGTAAAAATGCTTTTAAATTGTATACTAACACAAGATAATTAACCAATTAACCGCAGATAGAAGGTATCGGTATGCAGGGATTGTTTGTCCGGTAAAATTACGTTTTTGATACATTAAAATATACGTTAGTGTGTAACAAACATATAATAATCAAATCATAATATATAACTGTTGGATGCAAAACAGACGTAGTTCATTACCTGGCTTTGAAAATGCCTGCGTAGTGTACAATAACAACAGATTACAATATTATCTAGTAGAAATGATTTGAGCTTTTGGCAGTGATTATTTCATCTGCTAATAACTTTTTTTACTTGCGGAATTATTTGGCAAGCACCATTATACGTAGTAGGTTGCCAGATAATAAAATTTCTTCGGACTTTAACAGTATTTATTTCCTAAATTAGGTTTAAAAGAATATACGTATAATAATAATTTTAATTTGTTGTTATATATAGAGACCTGTCACGTATCGGATACAAGGCAATGTTGTATTTGACTGCGAATCACCCCTTAAGCTTATTAATAGCTTAGTGGTTATCGATTTTTTTCAATACATATAAAGTACATATGTAAATATTTTGCCTACTAAATTTCTTAGTTTAGATTCCTTTGTAGCAAATACGTATTAATAATATATGGTAAAAATGGATGCGGGAAGAGAAAACCTGTAATTCATTTCACTGCGATGATAATGAGTGAAATGATTTACAGGTTTTCTCTCCCCAATCATACCGACATGAGGGGCAGATTTGCATCAATTCCTTTTATGGCTAGATCACTTAAAGTTGCTGTATACGTAGCGATGGGGTATTACACTATGTAAATCAAATATATGTATAGTCATATATTAAAATTGATACTAAATTTTTTTTTTAAGATGATCACCGATTGAGATCAATTTTTATTTCATATATTCATATAACGATAACTGATATATATACTTAATATATAACTCTAATATTTTTTATTTTTCCAAAGATCTGATTACTAATGCGACTAATGTTAATTTTGAAACAAGTTTAAAAACATTTTAGTTGCTTCTTCTCCGTAAGTTTTTATATCTTCTATATGATTTTTTTGCAGTTGGTTTTTACGTTTAATTCGAATATCTGAAAGTCTCTAAGCAATATTATTTTCATTTATATTTCCAGATGAAAGTTGTAATTTTGCTTGCTTTAAGTCAAGTGTCATATTTGGGTGAGTCTTTAAATCTAGCTTATTAAAGAGCCCTTCTACTTGTTGTTGATGAACTATAATGGAATAAATCCGTTCTTTAACAAATTTATACAATAACGGATATTCATAAATATTAGAGCTTGGAGTAAAACAAAAATTCTCAAACTCGGCTCTAAATTCTAAGCAACCTAATAACTCTTCTCAAAGGCCAAAGGTATTATCAGATATATTAAAATCTTCACGTAATTGTTGTGCTAATTCTATTTCACATTCTGTTGGCTCCAAAAGCCACTCTGATTCTAGAATGACATAGTAGAATGCTCTTGCGAACTCATGGCTAGAATTTCCACCTAAATGGCAGATCGATAGCGGCAAATGTGTTCATGGAGATATCCATTTTAAAAAATGCTCATATGCCTTATTTATACCTTGTTCTAAACTATCAAAAAGCTTACTAAATTCATCATTATTTAGAGTTTCTAGTGCTATTAACAATTCATCCCAAAAAATGAATCAAAGTTTTCTTTAAGGTCATTCAAAAAACTGATCCATTCATTAACCTTGTCAGGCATTTCGTGAGCATGTCGACCAGATGAAAGTTGGACTATGATTATTTTCAAGTGATCTAATAAACCAATTTGCGAATTCTAAATGTGCTGCATGCCATTCCAAATATTGTTTAGCAGTACATAATTCATAGCCCCATCTTCCTCTAATTGGTAATTGATATTGTGAGAAATAAAGTCCTAATAGCTTATCATATAGTTTTTGAATATATTCTGACTTTATATTTAGGGTGTTGCCTCTATTACTCGAATTATACCCATCGTGAAGAAGCCACGCAAGGTATAATAAATTAAAGGGAAGTGGATATCTTGAAAATCTGATTGACAAAGGTAATTTTTCAAATGTTTCTTCAAAGTGTATCAAAACAATATGCATTATATGCATACCACAACCAATTTGTGTTGTATTTATATTTACTTTTTTATTAAATAACACAATTGCATCTTTCTGATTACCAGACATGTAAGCAGTGTTATCTGTTACCCAAGTTAGACATTTCTTCGGATCAAGTCCATGATTGGTAAGGGCAACAAGAACATTATTTGCTACAGACTGACCAGTGCATTTTTGTAAATGTTTAAGATTTGTTATAGCTACTGATAGTATATTGTTTTTATGATCCCAAAACATAATACACATAACAAAATTTTTATCTTCACTACAAGTTGACTCATCAACGAGAATTCTGAATTGGGAACATTGGGCAACTTGATTTATCATAAGTTCAGTTTCAATTTGTGAAACTTCCTTATGCCAAGTACTCAATGTAGGTACTGATAACCATTTTTGTGGAGGCTCACCTACCAAAAATTCGTAAACAAGATACAACGATTCTACGGCAGCAGTTAATGAGGTTTGTCCGATTTGTGATATTTTAGTAGAAAGCCAAATCATTTTTGGCGAATATTTATTATTATTAGTTTTAAACAATGTATTTATTTAATGCTTGAATTCTTCATGAGATATTTGGTTTTGTCTACGTATTAATGACCTTATAGTAGAAATCTGTTTTTCTACTTTATTTTTGAGGTGCCGATTTGAACTACTTACAGACTGAATTTTATGTATTAAATTCTGATTACTTTTTGATAGTTTTCGGTTTACTGACTTTAAACTTGCATTTTCAGTTTTTAAAAACTCGACGTGATTTTTATAGTTACTAGTATTTGTAATAAAGTCGAAGGCTTTTTTTTTGATGGTAAACCAAAATGATTTCTTTTTCATATTTTTCTTTTGGATTTCGCATTAATTCAATTAGATTTAATGCATTGTTTTTTTGTTGTTCTGGCATTTGGCGAATATCTTGAAATACTTCCTCTTCTTTTGCATAGTTTTCCACGTTGGTAAGAATGTTATGTACTTGTGGAAGAGATTCGGAATTAATCTTGGGTATGATTTTATGAATTTGTTAAACTTTATCTTGTTGAGATCACATATACTTCATATGGCTTTTTTGTTTTGATGATTTTGGCATATTTAATATCAATTTATTGATTTTACAATCCCATGATTTTTAGAAAATAAGCTCTTTTATATAGGTTTTAACAAATCCCAAGTTTAAAAGATCCCAATTTGAAAATAATACAACCATCGTTTTATTTATTAACTATATCAGTAGCTGTTTAATTAAATAATAGCTATAATCTTTTAATGGTTATATTCGACGACGAAAGACAATAACTAAATTACCCAATAAAAACGGTAAAGACAACAATAACTGAATTTGGCCAATAATTTGCTCAGGTAAAAGGTTAGTGCTTTTGTTTCTCGTGGGGTTTATTCAAGCGTATAATTATTTGCATAAATAATAAAATTTAACTAAAATGCTTTTGGATAATTTGGCTTTTGTTTGAGGTGAAATAACTTCTTTTTTTTTTTTAATTGATGCATATGTCAAAATTCAACTAATATGTTTTTAGATAATGGGCTTTTGTTAAGGTTTTAT